TGTCTAGAAAGACAACAATTCTAGGGATTGTTATTAACCCAACAAGTCCAGCAGAAAATCACACAAATGTTTCAGAGAAGCAACAGGTTAATCTCATTTTGGTTTAGGCAAAAATGATAATACCACATAAAAGATAAAAAGCACAAACAGCTAAGCCCCAAGTATCAGTTATTGAGAAAAAAAGAAACAAATCACTCAAGAGTTCAAAAAATGGGACCATGGTGAAAGTTGAAGAAAGATAACCTGTAATAGACAAACAGAATAGCCAGCAGAAGGCTGGGTGTATGTTGGGGTTGTGTGGGAAGGCAGGCAGCTGAGTATTTAGGGATTCAGTTTGCCAGTATGTGAGGAATGAATGGGTGAAGCTTTCTGGGTCCCATTCAGAGGTATCCCTTGAAGTTAAGTGAGTGAATGACATGCCATATTCTGTCCTTTGAGAGCACGTTGTAGCACAGCAAGGAGAGAGGGTTACAGTTGGAAAAGAGGGAAAGGTAAACAAATGGAAGGGCTGAGAGAAGTTCTCTCCTTGGGAGGACAATTCCATGGCCAGCATGGTGCTGGATTTTAATGTTATGTCCTAATATAAATGTCAGGGCTTAGTGCATGAAGGAAGCCAGTTGACCAGAGGCATCAACAGCACTTAGGACTTTTACTATTAAGAGTCTAAGGCCATGCTCCAGACTATTATAAAAACAGGCATAATTTTAACATGGCTTCCAGTCCTTCATGGTCACCATGATTTGAAGCATTTCTGTATGTGAATATCAAAGCATGGTGCATTGACAAGTGAGAATCAAACTCCTATAAAATAATTGTCATTTTGTCTAAAAATAAGCATGTTATTAATCTGATGAAGCAATGATATCACTTTTTGTTGGTTACCTTAACTCTAAAGAGAGGATCTGTCTCTGTAGCTGCTCTTCTACAATCAAAGGAAAACAGGAAATAAACTTTGCCTCTAAATCAGCAGAGGGTTTGGAACTGAAAGATTAACATACCAGTTGGTCAGATTGCTTATTTTCTCTATTCTACCTGGTGCCAAAACAGCCACATGAAAATGAAAAATCAAAATATTGAGTTATTGGCTTTGCCCTGTATAAACCATGTGTATATTTGGCTAACTTTCATTGTCTAAATTATTTAACTTTTGCTTACTTGTAAGAAATGTACTCTTAGTACTCCAGAGAAAATAATAAACCAAGAAAAATTAAAAGCATTTTAGCTATTTCAAGGTAAAAACAAAAAACAAAAAACAAAACACAAAAACTTACATTTCCCTGAAATATTTAACATCTAGCATTTAGCAAAAAGGAAGAGACTTTGTATGTAGTGTGCTTGGCTCATCTCTCTGTGATCTGGCCACACTTCCCAATGTGTGCTTATTGTAAATTCAGAGTGGCTGAGAAACTTCCTGTTCAGATAGCTAATTTTCATCTGATCCCAATTTTCCCACCCAAGGCTCAGACCACCCATGACAAATAAACAAAATTACCACCAAGAGCTAATTTTGTAATGAAAACAATTTGAATATAAATGTGTGAAAGGCAGAGACTTCCATGAATCTTTTTCTATGAAATAAAAGTTTAAGGCCATGATTCAATTCTTAATCAAGTAAGTTGTTTGCATGTTTAAAATACTGAGTATTCTATCCTTACTGTAGCCTTAAGTGTTGGGGGTACAGAGGCATAAAGCTGTTTCTATGTTGTAATTTCGAGATGCCATAAAATTTTCCAGGTTTCAGTTTTCTTGTATTAGTTGGATAATGCATATATCTCCGTCTTGATTGTTTGAAATTGTATAAATAGGACTTGAATGTTAAAGGGCCTTGAAATCCAGTGACTCCTGTGTAAAGATAATAAACTATTATTGTGTGGTTACTTGGAGACATTTTTAGGATTCACAACATGTTCTGTATCTGGACTTATTTGGTAGCATTAAACTTAGTATGTCCAATTTTGCCATCAAAAACATTCATTTTCCAATAGATTTCCTTCTACATGTTGGAAGCGGAAACTATTGCCTTTAAGACACATATTTTTATAGGAGTATACTTTTTAAAATGTTTATCTGAGTACATTTCAAAGGCACATCCATATGAGTTTGAAATTTTGAGAGAAAACACTTCATCATTACATGAATTTATTTGTGCTATTGCTCTTTTCATTGCTACCAAGAGAAAAGGGAGTGGAGTTCTATACGGCTGGAGACAAGAGGAGAGCTAACCCTAACCAAAATGCATAATTCAGAACATTCATCTGGAATGTGGCAGAGCAAGTCAAGAGATGTGTAAGGTATACTAGTTATCTAAGTATGAAGATATGTGGAGAAGAAACATTTGATCTTAGTTCCATATCACCCTGCCTTTCTGGTAGACACTGATAATCTCATTGAGATATTGCACAATTCAAGGAAGAAACAGCCACTTTGATGTTGAAAGTGTTGTGTTCATAATATTGAGACATCCAAAAGGAAGGATGTTGTGTGGTCTACAAGATCTACAATTTCGGTGTGCAGCCTGTGTGGTAAATGGAAACCAATCTTCAGTATCACGTTGTAATTGACAGCCCTGTGGTGAATGGGAAACAGAGCTTTTCCTCTTCATCAGCTCCTGCACTCAGTCTGCTTTAGTTCAGCCTTCACAAGTGCCATCTGTTCAGATGCTAAAATCTGTGGAGTAAAAACTAAAACCATATAGGAGACTGCAGAATACATATCTGTAAAGAAACCAGAGGAAACACGGCGCATGAAATGAACAAAAAGAAAATCTTTGGAAATGAAGAAAAAAGAAATATAGGACAACCGAAGGAGGAACACTTCCAACGACAAGAAGCAGTGAGCTTCAAAATAAGAAAAAAAGGACTTATTTGAAAGATTAAATTTTATAGGTGAGATTTAGTAGTACAGAGGCGTTTAATTGTCCTGTTTGAAAGAGTGCAAGGGGTGGGGCTGGACCCTGAATTTCCCAGGTTGAGATGGACCATTTGACCCCCATTTTGAAAGTTTCTAGAGCTTGCTGTCCTACTAATTTGCATTCCAGGATTTGGATAAGTAGTAGTGCTTCTAAGGGCCAAAACAACACCCTAGAAAACATTCAAGTTCCTGTGACTGTAAGCTACAGTATGAACCTTTTGTTGAACTCATGTAAACATGTAAACATGGTTCCACAGTTGTCCTTAATCTGTTTCCAGTCCATTGTGGTCCACTTTCAGTATAATCTGCATCTGAACTGAGCATATATTGATTTAAGTACTGAGTATCCCATAGTTATGCATACATATTCAAATATGTTACACAAGGAAGGAAACAATCAAGGCAAATGAAGCTTGTGGATACCTTGGGAGAACTCCTGTGTTGTCTCTATACAAGAATGAGAGTTTGTACATGTAAACGAATGAGAACCACAGGGCACCAGCTACCAGCTACAGGACCTAGAGTAGCTCTAAACTCACTTCCTCATCCCTGAAATGTGAGCAACAGCTACAGCTTCAGGGCAACCCAAAGTCGGTTGTTATTTTTAAGGGTGTGGCTGCTGGTAGGTCAACTGTGCTCCAGTGGACGGCCCCTTACCAGTGAATAAATTGGACTAGGTGGCTTGTTTAAGGAGAGAAAACAACAGAAAGGGACACAAATGATGGGGGTAGACTGGTGAGGAGTTAGGTGGGAGGGTGGCCAGAGGATGAATATGATCAAATCATATCCTAAGAATTTCTCAAAATATTAATAAAATATATTACGAGCAAAAAGCTCACTCAGTTACAGTCGTGGAGGTGGACTGTTTGGATGTGAAGTCTTGTTACGTCTCTGACATAAAGTAAGGTGTCCATAAATGACGTAATTATTCATGGAGGCGTAAACAATGGGGAAAGGTCCAAAAGATGCCATTGTGGGGAAAATGTGAGTTTCTCATTGAAAAATGAAAGTAGTAAAAGAGACTGGGTTATCCTAAAGACTGACTAAATTTAAGGGTGACTGGCTTATAGGAGGTCTTGTCAGCAAGAGCAGGATGATGTTGCTGCATGCAAGATTGCTTTCCTTTGGCGTAACTCTGCGTTAGTGTTACAAGGCTGCTATTATTTGTCAGGCCCGCTTCAGTATTGAGAGAGTGGGATTTGATGATCTTTACGGGACCTTAACCTTTAAGTCTTGACAAATATCTCAGGTGTTTTAAGAACCCTGGAGTGTAAATATTCCCCGAATAACTGGAAAATACAGTCCGTCTCCAAGTTTTATGGACATTTTATGTTGCTTAAAGAGGTAATTAAAGATGGGATTTGAGGGAGAAGAATGTATTTCCTCCTCCTCGTTAACCGACTTAGTCTTGGTTCCTGATTTCATTTCTCTGGCATTTTGCTTTTTTTTTTTCAGCATTACTTTTCCCTTGGTTTTCTCCAAAACGAACTAACGATTCAAAAACCTTAATTCTGTTGCCGGTATCACTAATGAATAATTCAGTATGTTGGTTTAGAACTGCACTTAAGCTTTAGTAGTTTTCAAAATAAAATCAGAAAACTTATCATTGGAAGACCTTGATCCTGTACCTCTCAACCTGACAAATTCTGCAAAGGAAGGCACTGATAATTTATTTCTAGCATCACTGGAGCTCAGGGAAGAGCAAGAACAACTACATTTTTCTTGAAGGCAAATCACACACAAAATTGCAGGTCAAGGGGATGAAAGTGGAAAACAATCTTGCAAAAGCTGAGTTTCCTACCCCCTCCCACGGTCTCTGGGAGGGTGACTTCAGTGGCTCCTAACTGATTCTGTCACTGTGAAATCCTACAGTCATTCTTCCACACATAAAGGACAAATAGGCAGGAGAGGAGGATCTAGATGCTTTCAGTTTTAACTCTTCACCAATAGTGGAAAAGGCAGAATGCCTAAGCTATGGCTCTGTGGCCAATAGGATGGCTGCGTGCCTCTCACATGACTGCCTGCCCCTGCCTTTCGCATGGGCTCTAATTTAGTTCAATTCAGAACTGCAGATAGTACGGTGGAGCAGGGATGCCTGAGCACAAGTGGCCGAGTTCCGTGTGACTTTAGGAAATGCTTCTCCCCCTTCCTGGGCATGCAAACAAGACTCTGCACCTGCACCGCAGTTTGTCCGGAAGAGAAGCCTCTGCTTCGCCTGCAGGGACGAGGAACTAGAGCAAGAAACAGCATTTGAAAATTGTAAGTATACATTTCTTTCCGTCAAGTGTGCTGATTAAAATAGTTTTCTGCCAGAAGCACAAAATACTCGAAGATTTGCCAGGGAATCCTTTTTATGTGTAGTTTGAAAGGTAGCCGAAGGGCAGGGAACTATACCAGGAACATTTGTTGCATGCTTTCTTCTGTGAAAGATAAAGAATTAAAAAGAAAAGTCAAGCTTTCTGAAGAGTAGCTGTAGGAGGCTCCGCACTGGGACACTGCTACAGCATGCTGCTTTGTTCATAGGAAAAAAATGAAGGCACACACATATGTACTTAGTTCCCTTCTTTTCGCTCTTTATGTCTAATCAGATTTGATTTGTCCCCAGGAAAAATAAAAGGCAAACTTTGCTGACTCCACTGACTAGGGCACCCCACACTTTCCAGACATCTGACAGTTATTATAATTAGCCATGAAAGACTGCTAAAGACACTTGGAGACAAAATAGCTCTTAAATCTGAACAATGGCTTCAAGCCAGGGCTTTCTTTTGATTCATTTTTGAAGTGTTTTAAATTTTCCAATAATGACAGAGAGTGAACTGGGTTTTGTGTTTTGCCCACAAAATGTGGAACGAGGTCCGGGCACGAGTGACGGCAGCTGAAAGTGGCTAGTGTGGAGAAGGAAAAGACAGCTTTCTGTCTTAGGAGCCAGGCCTCCATATAAAGATTTTTTTTTTAATTCCTAATAGGGTGGGGTGAGGATGTGGGGGGTGGGGAGGAAGCATGCCGAAGCTTCTTCATAGAAGAATCCTCAAAGAATAAAACAATTTAGAATGTCTTCCTGCCGGAGGAGTGCCGGCTATAGCTAACATCTAAGTTGTATTTATGGTAAGATTTTTTTTTTTGATGGAGTTTTAAACAGAAGTGACATTCAAAGCAGCATTTTTTAAAAAAAAAAAAACATTTATATAGTAATTGGAAACAAATGGTAGAAATTGTTCCTGTTATTGGTTTCTTTTCATAGCTAGGGTGATCCAGCAATGCATTATGTCTTTCCTTCTAGATTCATCCAAATCCTTAAAAAGTTATGTTTAGTCTCATAAGAAATGAAACTGCAAATCAGATCGGTGTGATTATGACTGATGAGGATTCTGAACAACAAAGACTCTGACAGAAAGAGAGTTTATAAGAACACGCTGCCCTCCCCATTTTTAAGAGAATATTAACTCCATCAATTATTGAAAGGAATTATTCAGAGGCTCCAGACATAACTAATTATGGCTTAGAGAGGTGCCAGAGCTGAGCCTGTGCTGTAATTATAAAAGTCCAAGACACTAGGAATCATTTTTTTAAGGAGGCTTGAGCAAGAAATTTCACATAATCTTTTAAAAATACACCAGTTTTTCTTTGTCTGCTCTCTCATGTTATCTACACCTCCCCCACTGCCGCCCACTGTGCGCTGAGACACCTGAAGGCTAGACATAATGATCAACAGAGCTCCAGCCTGTCTGGACTCCAGCCAGGTCCCCCCCCCCCAACCCCCCTTCTACAATCAAGGAGCTTGCACGCAATGCATGCCTGCCGAGTCTTTTCCACTAGCACTATGTGCAGATCCGGGATGGAAGTCGTACACATACTGCGGAAAGATTAAAGACAACAATATCCCCTTTCTCCTACCCTAGACAGCCTCAATTTTTAACCCTTTCGTTACCTTTAAACCCGAGATGTCTCAAGCACTCAAAGGCAGGTCTCCAGGGACACTGCAACTCCTGCACCATTTCGCATAGAAGCACACGCCTCATTTGGTGTGGAAATCCCATCTCCACGGATCCTGGCAGAATATTTGAGGATTCACAGTGTGTTAACTAAGCGAAACAGAATTTGCTGGTTCAGGGAATACATTTTTGAACAAACTTAAACTATATAAGATTGAGGGGGAAAAGTCGGAGGTCTGTGGAAAGGTTCTTACAAGCCTTGTTGAGGGCTGCAGATGGTTTTGCAGGGTGCCGTTCTGTAAGCGTCGTTCTGTTTGTCTCTGTGTCTTTTTCACATTCTCTCTCTCTCTCTCTCTCTCTCTCTCTCTCTCTCTCTCTCTCTCTCTCTCTCTCTCTCACACACACACACACACACACACACACACACACACACACGTAAGACTCACACATCAGCCAGAAAAACACATCACTCACAACAAACCCAGGTTAGTTGGTGATGTCATCACAGATAAAATTTCGCCTTTGTGGGCAACATTTTCAATCACCTAGACGCTGCCGCCAGCGTCTGCTGGGTGTGTGCCCATAGGAAGTTCAAGTGTTTGCGGGGTTAACCAACACCCACAGGAAAGCAGTCTTTTATTCGGAGCTCTTC